ATATATATATATATATATATATATATATATATATACATATATATACTTTAACATAAAACACTAGATATGTATATATAAAATTTGTATTAAAAATTTGAAAGATTCCTTAAAATATTGAATATATAAAAATTTGTACACTAATTTTCAATAATAAAAATAATACAGTGTATTGTTTATTTAAATATTACAAATGTATTTTAAAAAAATATCTTGTGATTAGAGTACTGGAATGTTGTGGTGTAACAAGGCTATCACATCAAATCAAATTTCTTATTGGCTCGGTATTACTGGACCATCATATAATATTGATACTGCATGTAGCTCGAGTCACTTTGCTGTAATGGAAGCTTACAGACTAATGCAATCTGGAGTATGTGACGCAGCTATTATTGCTGCTGGTAATTTATGCCTTCATCCTCATATAAATTTTCAGTTTTATCATTTAGGTATGTATATCTCTTCAGTGTTATTGCATCTCATATAATTTTTGTAAAATTATTTGTATTTTGTTTGTTTTTATTATGTATCAAAATATAAACTTTATTAATTTAATTATCTTGATATGTACTTATCATATTGTTTGTAGTTATTAATAAAATATATCTATTAATATAAATTTTTTTCAGGAGTTTTATCTGCTGATGGTTATTGTAAACCCTTTGATGAAGAAGGAACGGGATACATGCGTAGCGATGCGGTCGGAGCAATATATTTGCAAAAAGCAAAAGATGCAAGGAGAATATATGCAACCTTTGTACATTGTAAAACTAACTGCGATGGTTTTAAAGAAGAAGGTATTACATTTCCATCGCTTGAGAAACAAAAAATGTTATTAAAAGAGTTTTATGAGGAATGTGAAATCTCGCCCGCTGAATTGTCCTATGTGGAAGCTCACGCAACTGGTACTATAGTTGGTGATCCTGTAGAAGTTATGTCTGTAGATCATGCTTTATGCTCTAAGAGAAATACTTTTTTACTGATGGGGTCGGTAAAATCGAATCTTGGACACGCTGAAGCAGCCAGTGGCCTTTGCCAAATTGCAAAGGTGAATTTATAATAAAATATTAATATTAATATAATAATTTAATATTAATTTTGCTTAAATTTTTATTATGGCAATTTATATTTTCTTATATCATTACTAGAGTTATTTAATATAAATAATATTACATAATTATATAATTATTTATATAATTATTCATTATAACATAGTAATATAATATCTGCAAGCAAAAAGATATAATTTCTTCAAGGTACTATTAACAATGGAAACTGGCATAATCCCGGCGACTATAAACGTAAAATATCCACGAAAAAATCTGTTTGCTATTAATGAAGGAAGAATAAAGATTGTTACTAAAGCAACAAAATTAGAGGGTGATTATGTAGGTATTAATGCCCTTGGATTTGGCGGTACTAATTGTCATATATTATTAAAATCAAATCCTAAACAAAAAATCAATAATGGAGCACCAAATGATGATTTGCCTAGGCTTGTAACTGTATCTGGATGTACAATGGAAGCAGTTAAAATAATTTTAGATGATGTAAGTACCATTGCAATATTTTATTTTATATATTTTTCACAATTCAATTGAAAATTGTTATATTTATTTATTTTGTGCATATGTATTGATTGTTATTGTATTTTAATATATTTTAATTATTATTTAATTAAAATAACAATCAATATGTATGGCACAAAATGAAAATATAATAATTTTCAAGATTAAGCAATCAAAGATTATTCATAATGTCGCATAGAAATCGCACATTCAGGTCTCTAATTATATAGAAATATATATTGATCTATCATTTGTTATTGATTTTCATAGCTAATAATAATTTAATAATAAATACAATCAATATAACTAGGAATTATAAGGCCTCTCGCATACAAAAAAAAAAGCTTAAATAGTATGACATAAGGAATAAGAAAATTGATTAATGATATCGATTTTTCTTATAATCGAATAATTTTTTGTAATTAATCAATTTTTTTACTGCTTACGTTTTACTGTTTAAATTTTTTTTAAGGTGCGGGCATCTTAAAGCATATACTTTGTTATTTTTGTAAACACTTAAAATTTTAATTATAATCGTATATTTAATTTTAACCTTAAACGTTAATAATCTTAATAATGTTAAGGAGGTACACTATAGTAAAGACTCAAAGAAAATTCTCTTTAAAAAAATTTTTTTTTAAATAATTACATATAATTTATTTTTTAAAAATAATTTTTTATTCACTAAATGGCGGCGGTTAAGGAAAAGCGCGATATATAATATCGATATCTATATACATATACACATATATTAAACAGTTACATCTCATTTGATATTTGATGCTAATGAATCGGGCAGATATATGCTCATTCGGTGATTTTTAGTAATTAATGAACTCATTAATTATGAAAATCACAAAATAGTTGAGGATTTTTCTGTTCAATTTGATTCTCTTGTACATACATGATCGTTGTATCATTTTGAATCAAACATTTTATATAGATATTACTCTATATAAATATTAGATGATTACAATAAAATTTAAGTACACGTATTTACAGTATTTAAAAAATATTTTTGTACATTTAATCTTATTTTAAATAATTTTAAATTTAAATTTCCATGAAAAAAAAGATCGAAAAGTTTTATTTTATTTTTCAATATATTAAATAATATCAAATAATTTTCAATATATTAAATAATATCAAATAATTTCAATACATCTTGGTTGACTTTAATATATCTTGGTTGACTACATTTTTTGCAAAACAGAACAATAGTATTTCCTCACCTCCTTATTTATATAAAATTATTTCAAGAAGAAGAATGGAGCATAAAATTTTTTTTTATTATTGAATTCAGGTGCAAAATCGAACGGTAGATGCAGAATATATATCTCTGCTACATCACATTTATAGTGATAATATAGAAAATCATTTTTATAGAGGATATGTAATAACTGAATCTGAAATATCTTATAATGCAATTAGTGAAATAGGACATTCATATACAAAAAAACCAATTTGTTTTATTTTTCTGGACTAGGGTCGAAATGGTTCGGAATGAGTAAGTAAATAGACATAAAACAATTATATTGTAAATTATTCTAAATACATACATATTATTGATATCCAACAATTTTGAAATATGGATATTATACATAAAGATCTTGATAATCTTTCATAATTATGAAGGAAAGCATTATGATGACTTGATTTTAATACTTATTTCAAAATTACAATACTGTATAATTTCAAAATATTTTGTGTGTGCTTGTTATTATTTATTAGAAAGTAATCTGTTAAAATTAATAAATCAAATGTCTTTAAGAGAATGAATTTTACAATTTTAATGTTTATTGTAAAATAAGTGCATAGGTAAACGAAAAACTAAGAATTTTTCTTGCTTTTCAGCATTTTAGAAGCTTCTTCCAAAATGATAAGATTAAGTTTCTAAATTAATAAGTAATCTCCATCGTATAACCAATGCATTTTTATTTGAAAAATATTTTAGTTATTATTTTAATATTCGTTTTTCTTAAAAAATTTTAGTCATTGCCTTATCACGCTGGGTTAATAGAGATATCAATTGTCTTTTTAATTTCTTCGCTTGGGTGATATATACACAACAGGCCAAGATACTCTGATTGCCATTGCTTTCCGAGAAGTATCGAATAAAATCAATTGTTTTATTTTGTTATTTTTTGTTAATAATTCCTTAATTATTACAAAAATTGCAAAATAGTATAAGATTTTTTAATTCAATATAACTTACTCTATTTGCCCACGAGAAGTGATACGATTATTATTATCTTGTATAAATTTGTAATAATAAGATTAAAAAATTCTATTAAAATTATAATAGGTCGAAATTTAATGAAATTTTCGGTGTTTGCCAAAGCAATAAAACAGTGTGATTCTGTTTTGAAATTTTATGGCATATCGCTCACAGACATTTTAACAAGTGAAAATGAAAATACTTTCGACAATATTATTAATTTTTTCTTAGGTCTTATCGGATTACAGGTAAGACAGAAAACTTTTTCTATTTAAATCTCATAAACATATCTTTCATTTTTTACATATTAAATATAATTAAATTTTAATTTTTAATTAAACTTTTATTTTTTATTAATTTTTATTTAAAATGAATGAAAAGACATTTCTTTTATATATATTACAGATTGGAATAGTCGATCTTTTAGCCTCCATTAATATCATCCCTGACTTTATAGTCGGTCATTCTATTGGTGAATTAGTTTGTGGATACGCTGATGGATGTTTAACAGCTGAAGAAACGATTCTATTGGCGTATTTTTTTGGTTTAGCTCTTCAAGAGTCAATAATAATTAACGGTTCGATGGCTGAAATTAATCTTAGTTTTAAAGCTATAAAAGATATGTGTCCTTCGAACATTGATATAGCATGTTACAATAATTCTTCTAATTTTTTCGTGAGTGGACCAACAGATTCAATAAAGGCATTCCTTGCCAAACTACAGGTATATTAATACTCGAGCAATGTAACAACAAAAATAAACTTATTTTATTTATTTCTCTTAATTAATTAAATCAATAATTAATAACACACCTTTTTGCTCAATTCTTTCAGACTGATGGAATTTCTGCAAAAGAAATTTCTTGTGGTAATATACCTTTTCATAGTCGTTACATTGAACCTGCCTTAATTAAATGTGAGAAATATTTGAATCAAATATTACCACACAAAAAGTATCGTAGTTCAAAATGGTTGACCACATCTTATTATGAATATTCTAACACATCTCAATTTTTATGTTCAAAGTATTATACAAATTATTTGTCGTCACCAGTATTATTCGCAAAAACAATTCACTTGATTTCAAAATGTAATACGGTAACAATTGAGATATCGCCCCAAAATATTCTTCAATATATTTTAAAAGATTCTTTATATTTTACACTAATAAATACCATACCGTATGTATATCCTGAGAATTATAGTATTGAAATATTTTTGAAAACAATCGGAAAGCTTTATATTGCAGGATTACAACCAAAAATTGCAAATTTATATCCAGCAATAGAATTTCCTGTAAGCCGTGGTACACCAATGATTTCTCATCTAACAAGGTATGAAATAATAAATTTCAAGAACATTAAAACACATAAACACATAAAAATAATTTATTTATTAAAAAACAAAACAATATTTAATTCGCTTTTCCATCATTTCTTTTAATTTAACTTTTAAAATGATGTCTTAAATATTTTAAAGATAAATAATTATTATACTTATCTCAATAATGCATATGATGTCTCATTTTAAATAGCGACCTCAAATCTCTTGAACAATGCATTTTAGAGAAACATGTTTCAGACAAAAGTTTTATGACTTTGAAGGAGACATAAAATAGTATCATTGATTTGACTTTGGATAGTCGTTTGAAAGTTACATGAAGGTCTACTTTATTTTTTTAATTGAAACCCACATTTTTTTATTTTACATATTTTTACATATTCTTGTAGTTGATCTTGAGAACTTTCCAAATATTATAATGAAATATATTTCATTAAGTATTTTCTGAGTTATGAGACTTGAATTTGATATATAATTATATATCTTTGATATATAATTTGACATTGTAAAATATCTTATATCAAATTTTATATAAAAGATCTTGTAAACTATTCATATTTTGGCAACTATATATTAATATTTTTATATAGAAAATAATGAGATGAGTGCAACGAAAATACGAATACATAGTTGTTTTTCAAAAAGGACACATCATATTGCATATTATAAAATTCCATTTTTTTGAACAGCAATTGCGTGTTCTCTGTACAATGTTAAAAAAATACTTTACTCTAGTGTTTTAAAAAGCTCTCAAGGTCAGCTATAAGAATATATAATAAAAAATGAGGATTTTCATTTAAAATCTGTTATTAATGATGATTTCACATTTTCCTTCAAAGATCGATTTTTTTCAAATTTTTTTGATTTTATCATTATTTGTTCCTTTTCAGATCATACAACTTTTCTCTGAAACTTTTGAATTTTGTTTTCACAGTTACTGTCTTCAAAAAGCTTAACACCTTTATGGATATTATTCGTAAATGTATTAAAAGTATAAAATGAGTATTAGCCAATATTATCAGGCTGTTCCTCACTCTGATGAAATGAACTACAATGTTCACTATATGTTGACATTTACCAATGTATCATAACTTGAATAATATCTGTAAATATATTAATTCTTTTGTCTGAAACATTTTTCTCTAAAATTAAAAACAAAGAATGTTGGAGGGAGGGGATGTCATTTAAAATGGAACACCTTGTATCATCCTGTAAGTTTTTTAATTATACCTATGAAAAGCAAAAGAAAGTGAAATATTAAAGTGTGATATTTAGTATTTAGATTTAATCATTAATTTGATGATTAGGAAATTAAACTGTTCATTTACTTATGAAAGTATAATCGCTTTAATGATGTTTGCAGATGGAATCATTCCGAAAATTTCTATATATTACGATACAGTAATTTTCAAAAGATAATTGAACAAAAGGAAATAGTTGTCACTATTGATATAACTGACGAGAAATTTATATACTTAACGGGTCATACTGTTAATGAAAAAAATTTATTTCCGGCTACGGGATATCTTTTTCTCATTTGGGAAATGATTGCATCATTGAGAAAACATACTGGACATACTAATGTACCAGTTGTATTTGAAGATGTTAATTTTCTTCGTGCAACAGTATTATCACAACAAAATAAAATTGAATTTACTCTTATAATTCAAGAAGGTGAAGTGTTTTTACATAAACAATTTTTTTACAAAGAAATGATATATTCTATAGAACAATTGACTATTCTCGAATTTAATTTCAACTCTTGCCTTATACGTTTTGGTTTTATAAATGATTAATTCAGAAAGTTGAAAGCTGTAACTGAAAAAGTTATGTTCGATAAATAGTATCTTATTTCGGAAACCTGTATAATGTTAGCAATTAATTTTTTCACCTGAAATGTATGTAATATAGAAATTGATTCATTTTGAATCTATTTACGCAATTATCACTCGTACACTGACTTGTAGAAGATATTGAAGTAATTAATAATAAAATAGTTTGGACGTCCAAAACTTTGCTGAAATATTGCTTTCTTAATATTATTGTTGATTTAATAACTCTATCAGAATTATCTAAGTTAAGAAAAATATCATTAATGTTCTTAGAAGTTAGTATCTGGATATTAAATATATTATTATAAATAGAAAATATTTATCACCACTTTGATAAAATATATAGATATGCAGGATATCTCAATAATTCTAATAGTAACGTTCGTGTGCAGATGAAATTAAACAGAAACATCCTCTATCATTTTGTAATTTTTATAATTAGTTATGAAGCAAAGATTGCAAAATGGTACAGAACTTCTCGACTTAATTTAGTTTGTTCTACTCACACAAGCATTGTTACTTGAATTATCGGATACTTTGCGTGTTTGCGATACCATGCGCAAGTAATTAAAAATTTATATGTATAAAGATATACGTATAAATTAATTTTTTTAAAACCTGATTATTTGTGTTTAGAGCACAACAATTTTTTTCAAATTAACTAAAACTGAATTATTCTTTTTTTCCAACTGTCTTTTATAAATCATTTAGATTCATATCAATATTTTTTCGTTGACTTATAATATATCATATTAAAAAATTTATATTTGTATTTAGGTAGTAATAGATTCGAAATAATTGAAGGAAATAATGCTGTTGTTACTGGAACAGTACGAATTCCGATTAACATTGAAAATGAAAAAATATCTGCTAATCTTGCTGAACGTGTCGATGACGAAGAAGAAATGGATACAAAAGACATTTATAAAGAATTAAAACTTCGTGGTTATCAATATACTGGCATATTTCGTGGATTAAAAAGTGCATCGGTTACAGGATTAAATGGCCATATTGCATGGACATATAATTGGGTAGTATTTATGGACAATATGTTGCAAATGATGATTTTAAGCCAAAATACAAGGAACTTTTTAGTTCCAACAAGAATTCGTAAGCTAATAATCGACCCAAAATATCACATACAGCTACTTGAGAATTGTCCATATGATAAAAAACGTAAGTACGCAATAATATATAAAAGTTATAATGTAGCAAAAATAATTGCTTTATAAATATATTTCATTTGTGTTTGTGCTATATTTCAGAATTTATTGCGCGTAATTACAAATCTGTAGATGCTATAATAGCCGGAGGAATAGAAATTTATGGCGCTTTTGCTACAGTCATACCTCGCCGACAGAAATCAATTGATACAGTTCTTGAAGAATACAAATTTGTTGCTCATTGTGATTTAAGTCCTATCTTGTTACAAAATGCAATAAGAATGTCGATGCACATAGCACTTGAATGTTACAATATGACAAATATAAAAGTTATCGAATTTGTAAAAGATAATGATCAAATAACATCAAAAGATTTAAATTCTCCACTTATTAATGAAATCTTAAGTGATTTACCTCAGATTCAACATAATATCAAACTTGTAACAAACGACAAAAAATTTCAAAATAACTCTTTGCTTAACAATATTTCGACAATCGAGTTTAATAAATTGTCAAAAAATGAAAATAGTTTAATGGTAATAGGTTTCGGAATTTTAACAAAAAATGATGAAAACTTGTATCGAGATTTGCTATCTGTTTTAATGCCGCAAGGTTTTCTATTAACTTTGGAAGAGATTGATGCGGTATATGATTATTCATGTCTGAAAATGTATGGATTGGATATTATTCTAGAGAAACAAACAAATAAAAAAACAATTATATTACTAAGAAGAACTCAAGAATATGTTATAAGAAATTGGCAGATTGTACATGTAAATAATTATGAATTTTCATGGGTAAATGAATTAAAATCAATCATGAATATGGAAAATAAAACTGCAGATATGAGAATAATACTTGTCGCAGAAGGAGATTCTGAATGTGGAATACTTGGTCTTATTAATTGTTTGCGAAAAGAACCAGGCGGTGAAATTATTAGAAGCATATTTATCCAAGATAAGAAAGCGCCTGTTTTTTCTTTGCATGAGCCACTTTATACAAAACAGTTACAGTTGGATTTACCTATCAATGTTATACGTTCCGGTAATGTTTGGGGAACCTACAGACATTTTCCATTACCATTACTTGAATCAAAACTTGTACAGAATGCTTTTATTATGCAGAAGGTATGTCAAAAATATTTGTTCTTCGAAAAAGAAATTTGAAGAATTGATTATATTAAAAAAGATTTTATTATAAATTTTCTTATAGATGATAATCGCACATTATTATTTAACAGGTAAAAGGTGATCTGAGTACTCTTTGTTGGACAGAAAGCAGAATACCTATCTGTTATGAGCGTGAAAATTTCGTTAAAGTAATTTATGCATCTATCAATTTTAAGGATATCATGTTGGCTACAGGTAGACTTACCGTCGAATCAATTGGACATGATCCCAGAGATGATATGATCGGCTTAGAATTTGTTGGCTTTAATACACAGGGACAAAGAGTAATGGGACTGAGCGAATATGGGTAAATGTCCCTGTCAATAGAAATTTAATGAAAAAAATTATTAATCACTAATATCAGTTTAATATTAGAGGTTTAATATTAGAAGATCAAATTGCTCAAATGTTACACTTTTTTTTATCAATTCTTGCTAGAAATCCAAGTAAATATACAAAAATAAATTTTAAAGTATTATATATTTATATCATCATATAGAGAACAGCGCAAATCCGCATTCCATTGCTGAGTATTATTATTAGTTATACTGTGCTATATAATAAACATGATTATAAGTTTTTTAAACATATGAGGAAAGTCGCCTATCATTATACTATTTTGTTTTTAGATTATATTTCTTAGGCAAAAACTAAATATAAAATTCTAGAAACAAAATGTAATACAAATTGTCTACGAATGTCTTCTATCAGATGATAGTAATTTTTATAATATTATTTTGTATTTTACAATAATTAATTTTTTTGTAAGATAGAAATGAAAGAACATCTAGAAAGTTGAGCTCTAAACTTGACATAGTAAGCAATGATGCCAGAATTCAGATGTGACTCAGGAAGAAAGGAATTAATAATAAAGTAACTTAAATTATATTTACTTTCTTTTTCTGTTTTATAAGATAAAAGTAATAGTGTAACCATAAAAGTTACTTTAAGTCAAGTTACTATATATTTACTATATATATTTTATAACATCTACCTTACTGACAGTTAGATATCGATTACGTTATATAAAATTGCATTATGAAAAAAATAAGAAAAACTATAAATAAAATAATTTTGAGAACATATAAACATATAAAATGATCTAATATTATCAATAATTATTAACTATTATTTATACACTATTATTTAAACTATATAGTTTGCAAAAGAAAATCATAAAAATTTTACTTTCGCATTTGAGAAATTTGTTTTTAATTAATTTTATATAAAAACAAATCAATGAACAAATATATGAATCAGTTTTATTTCTTAAATCATTTAAAAAGATCTTGTTATTTCAGTATTAATAAAATGCAATCTTTGATTTCTGAGAAATAAGATAGTATTTCTTTAGGAGGACTATTGGCGACTTTCCTCTATATATACGTCATATAGAATTATATATTTCTTATACCAATATTATTACGTTTAGAGGAATTACAAATATTTGCGTTGCTGATAAATATCTTACTTGGATTATACCCGATAAATGGTCAATGGAAGAAGCAGCAACGATTCCATGTGTATACAGTACATGCTACTATGCTTTATATATAAGAGGCAAAATGAAGAAAGGAGATAAAGTATTAATTCATTCTGGTACCGGAGGTATTGGTCAAGCTGCGATTCATCTCGCACTTTATGAAGGTTGTGAAGTGTTTACGACAGTTGGAAATGTCGAAAAACGTCAATTTATAAAAGAAACCTTCCCTTCTATCCCTGAAAATCATATTGGAAATTCTCGAGATACAAGCTTTGAACAAATGATTACACAGTATACAGGAGGTCGTGGAGTAGATATCGTATTAAATTCCTTAGCCGAAGAAAAATTGCAAGCATCTATGCGCTGTTTAGCAAATGGTGGCTGTTTTCTAGAAATTGGAAAATTCGATATGGTTTCTAATAGTCTATTGGATTTATCTATCTTTTCTAAAGGCATTAGTTTTCATGGCATTTTATTAGATAAAATATGTTTGTCAAATTCAGAAGAAAAGATAAAATTGTCGAAAGGAATGGCAGAAAGTTTACAAAATGGTAGTATTAAACCATTATGTAGAAAAATCTTTGATAAGAATGAGATAGAAAGTGCCTTTAGATATATGGCCACTGGAAAACATATTGGCAAGGTATGAACATTTTTTTTATAATATTGGACATTACAAACGCGCACTACATGTGTGCTATCTTCGTCGCATTATATATTTTTCAATGAAATATAAAAATTAAATTAGTTCTATCAATTTATATCACTATGAATCACATAAGGCTAGTGAAATCTTTATACATGAAATTACACACGTTTTAAAATGCATAATATTCAATGCGTATTTCGTTTTTAAGTATTCATAACTGTTGATCGGCCATATTATCTTATTACATTTTGAGAATACCTTATAATAAAATAATTTGTATAAATAATAATATAAAAGAAATTGAATAGCCTTTATTACATAATCTTATTCTGATACAAAACAAAATAAAATAATGTATGTAAAAAAATGTATGTAAGTGACGAAAGAAAGCGAATTATTTGATCAAGAGGAGGGGCAGGAACATAAACAGTTTTCCTTTTACTCTCTAACTTTTCCTTTTATCTCTCATGTTAAGTTTTATGTTAATTTTATTATACTTCCTATTAGAAGTATTATTTCTTATCACAGTATAATTAAATATTAAAATGAAAAAATTATATAATACAAAATTATAAAATTTTCATTAAAATATCTTGTTTTATAATATTAATTATATTTTTATTATCTGTTCGTAGATAATAATAAAAATTCAAAATGAAGATGTACCATCAAATACTTTTCTACTCGCTCATCCACGATATTATTGCCTGGAACATAAATGTTATATTATTTTGGGTGGACTGGGCGGTTTCGGTTTGGAATTAGCAAATTGGTTAATTCATCGAGGTGCCAAAAATCTAATATTGACTTCACGAACCGGGATAAGAACCGGTTATCAGCAAGCAAGAATCAAGCTGTGGCAATCATGTGGTGTAAATGTACAAATTGTTACAGTCGGTAACACTTTGAATCACAAAGACTGTGAATTTATATTAAAATTTGCTGAAGAAATAGGACCTGTGGACGCTATATTTAATCTTGCAGTAATTTTAAAAGATTATATATTTCAGAACCAATCACCACAAATGTTTGAAGATTCGTTTAAATCAAAAGCATGGCTGACAAAGAAAATGGATGATTTATCGAGATCTATCTGTCCACAACTTAGACATTTTGTCGTTTTCTCTTCCGTTTCATGTGGAAGAGGAAATGCAGGTCAAACAAATTATGGGATGGCTAATTCTGTCATGGAAAGAATTTGTGAAAAAAGAGTGAAAAAAGGATTACATGGTTTAGCAATACAATGGGGCGCTATTGGTGATGTTGGACTTGTCGCTGATATGCAAGAGGATAACAAAGAACTTGTTATTGGAGGTACTCTGCAACAAAGAATATCCTCTTGTTTAGATACATTAGAAATATTTTTATTACAAAATCGACCTGTCGTAAGCAGTATGATTGTTGCTGAAAAAAGTGCAAGTTCTGGTGGATCTATGAATATTTATGAAACAGTTGCTCATATTATGGGTAAGCAGTTTTATAACATTTAATTTAATAGAAATGTTTAATTTACAGAAAGTTATGGATCTCTTCTTTAACATTTGTATTTTTGATACTATTAAATGGTCATAAAAACATATAATAGATCGTTTCCATAATAATATTTTTAACCCAGTCGAAATTTCGAAAACACACACACACACACACACACACACACACACACATATATATATATATATATATATA